ACCTCCTCCTCCTCGTTCCACCATAATCCCGTCTTCCTCCACCTCTTGCTCACCACTCCACATCACTACATCCCTCCTGTGATTGCATCTGCAGCACTTGGTGAGGTGAGACGAGATGAGGTGAGACGAATGTGGAGAGAGTGTGAGGCGCAAAGGACAGACAATTGCACAACACTAACCCGCGCATTTGTCTCGCTCATGTCCATCCCTCACCAATAACAACAATGGGACATTCGTTGTTTGGTGGCGATTTGTGCCACATTAGGTGATTTGCATACGAGTTGCGCTCCTGCTGCCACCTCCCACTCGTCCACCCTCCCGCCCTCCCTCCTCATGCATGCACTAACATCAATGCCTCTGTGCTGAGGACAATCGACGCCACCTCATTTGTGATTATTTTGTCGCTCTGTTGCACAACTCACTGCAATTCCTTCCACACGCCACCACCACCAACATCTCCCTCATTGTTGATGTTGAATTACGCGATTGATGCGACATCCAACGAAAACACTAGATTCAGCACCGAATCCACCTTCTCCTCCCTCCACGTCGCGTCCTCATCCCTCACTCTCCACATCCCACCACCTCCCCATTCCGTCACCGCTGTTCCCACCCACCATCCGAGCCCAGTGCTGTGCACACCAAAGTGCGAGATGATGTCATGCACACACGTACTCACTCGCCCAACGTTTTCAGCTGGTCGCACTTATCTCCACCACCACTCCACCCGACACACCACCACTGTGCTTTGTTGTCACGTTGCATGTGTGTCACTCCAATCTCACGCAGGACACTCGACAATTGCTCCAGTTCTTGACATTCCGTCGATGTGATAGAGTGAGGCGTTGTGGCTGGTGGCAGGGTGAGGGGGCGATATTGAGTGCAGACTATGGGTTGGTGGGTGCACTGTGGCAGAGAGAAGGAGGATGGAATGGGAGGGTGGAGTGAGAAAGTGTGTTCGTTGTAGGAGAGGAGGCAGAGGCGGAGGCGGAGGTGGAGCAGCAGCAGCAGCAGTAGCTTCCACCTCTACTCTCACATGTATGTGCAAACCCACCTCCACATCCCCACCTTCGTCAATTCATCATCACCTTCAACTGCTTCACAATCAGCTGCAGCACCAGCACCAGCACCGCCTCATCCACCCACGCTTCCCACCTCTGCCAAATTAAGCCACAACACCACTAACTCTCACCCCCCAATTCATCACATGACGAGGTGCTGCTTGACATGCCTTTCTACTCATGAACGTGCTGCATGCAGCAAGAACTGATTCCTCACACACCACAACCTTCGCCACCATCGTTCATGCGTGACGCCTGACTGCCTCTACCACTTCCATGCTGTGCCACCTCAGATGTCATCTCCCTCACCACCAACTCTTCTCTTACAACACGCGGTAAAGCAGCCTCCCTTCCTCTCGTCGCCTGCATGCACTCACTGCCAGCGACTGCACCATTGAGGAGGCCACACTCCTTCATCCAACAATTCAGTGTGCTTCGAGAAGGTGCACGCATCACGCATGTTGGTGAGACACCGTGTGAAATGTGCAGCACCACCCCAACGTGTGAATTTGTCCTCAGCCAATTAGCATCACCTTGGCAATGGCACTGTTGGTGACGGTGAATGCACTTCATCCCTCCTTTCTCCGCCCCCTCTTCTTCTCCTCCTCCTCCTCCTCCATTCTTGCACACCTCAACTTCTTCATCAGTCTAACCTGCCCATCCCTCCTTCCCTCATCAATTTCCCACTCTCTCCATCCACCCCTTCAACCATCCATCTTCGTTTCCATCCACCCCTTCAGCCATCCATCCATCCATCCATCCATCACACTAACCACCCATCCCTACTTCATTCCATCCACCCATTGCCACATCCCTCATCTCCTACCTTCCTCCCACTCATCCACCCACCCCCTCTACCATCCATCCATCCATCCATCCATCCGTCCACCTATCCATCCATCCTTCCTTCCCTCATTCCTTTTCAATCATCGTGCATGTCCCACCATCACTTTATAGACCAGCACTACTGCACACTCGCATCGACAATGCGCATCGGTAGGAAAGCCATGCGAGCGATTGCCATCACTTCAACTCTCATCACTCCCTCCTCATCCCTATCACCCTCTTCGTGGGGACGTGTCACTGGGCGATGCGATGTAGTCCACCACTTCCACCAACGACAAGTCTTCAGTCCTGCTCATCCATTCCAGTGTCTACCGCCACCACCACCACCACCACCTTCGCCCTCATCTTGCCTCCAGTTCAATTCACCAACACAAATTACGTGCTTCCTCACTTGCAGTGGAATGCATCAGTGCAAATTACCATCCTCCATCCACACGTCCACACCT